GTACTTTTGCTTCTTTCATGACGAGTAGGCGCTCTCGTATCGGGTTTGTAATTCAAGGAATATAATTTTGGGAAATCTGCACATAAACAAGGTTATGTGTAGGTTAAGGTTTTATACATTAAGTTTTTGTACATAGTGTTGTGTTTTGGAAAATACAAAGCTTTAACGCAACAAGGGTTTTTAATTTGACAATACTAGTCCATTGGTTCATCCTGAGCTAACGAGATGATGTGTAGCGAATTACGCACACAGGCTATTTGAATTTTTATTAGAATATTTTTTTCCTTTTTCTATCCTATACTTGCTATAGATCGATTTCGACATTGAAAGTCAATGTCAAAAGTCCAAATGTCTTTTCTAATTGAAAGGATTTGATAAAGACTTACATCAACGTGTAACCACAGCCCATATTTTTCACATATATCGGCTATTTCGTTGATCGGATCGAAGGCACCATGAACAGTTGTACCACTAGTGCAGTTAACGAAGAATGGAGTATGGCCTTTCGCTTTTCTTTCTAAAATCAGTTTTTCCAGTTCCGTTGGTATTAGTCTTCCATTAACGTCCGACGGAACCATTACACAGTTGTCAGTACCCAAACCGCCGACGGAGGCACACGATTTAATTGAATAATGACTCTAAAAGTACGTTTCTTTAAGATTAATTATTTTCTATGTTTTCTTCTCTGGGGTAGTGGATTTTGCAAAAAGTTTAAAGCGGATAACACAGGGAAATTCACAGAATTTTTACCCGTTGGTTATAAATGAAAGAATAGAATCTGATACTTTAATCGGTTGTAATGAACTTGTTTGTAAGAAACTTCTGGATATAATGAACTAAATAACGATAACTAAATTTCAACTTCTTATTTATATATTCGTAGTGCTCTCCTGATGAAGCCAAGAAGGTTAGCGTTAATAAAGTAACATCAGCCCATCGTTTTGTTCACAAGAATTTACCTACCGACACCCTCAATTTAATTATCTTTAATTTAACTAGTACGGTAGTCACTAAGACCAACCTTATTTATGAATTAAATACTAAATAACTATTTACTGTGAATTTTAAATTTTAATGGGCTTTTTCGAACTAACACTTGCTGCATAATACCTTCAATGATTATGCGAAAATAGGTTTTTGCGATCATATGGAGTACATTCCTATCTAAAAGGGTTGGAGATACCGAGGTACAATTCGAAGCATATGCCAATGCAGACCAACTTAAATACTAACTGCAATATCAGAACAATCCGCTTGTCCTAATTATATAATATTCTTGCAAATTTTAAACATTTCTTTTTTTTGTTTTGATAATAACGCTTCTAACGAACATCGGTTGTAGTGAACTAATAATTCTATGTAGTTCTTTCGTACTCATTATAACCGAGATTGACAAATAATAGATCATGTAGCAAATAAAGAATATGACGTATATACCTGGTCTGATGTGAACATCACCAACTGTCCTTTTATTGAAGCAATTCCTTTTTCTTTGTATTGAGGAAACATTTTGTGGCGGGCAGCCAGAAACGCGTACAAGTTGGATATAGAACCCCCTAAAATAGTTTTCTTGGTTAGACTTGGTTGTCTCAATAATATTGTAATCCTCGGATAACTCTGCAGGATCAAGCTTTATGAAGAAAATCTGTCATTTGGATAGAATGTTAAGCAAAGGACTTGATGGTCATTTTAAATTTGACGATGGTTGTCACTTTAATTGCCTTTTTGCTTGAAAAATTTACATTGAATCTCAATTTGAAATGAGAGAATATTTAGATACGCATTTTTAATTTAATATTCGTGCAGGTAATTTAAGGACAGGTAAAAATGACTTTCTAAACGTATTCCCTTTTTCTCCTTCCACAAATGCAAGGGGTAATCGCATTATTCGAAAGCGGTTGAATAAAGCTCAGTAACGGGGGTGAGTCAAACTCAGCTATACACTTATATAATTTATTATGTACGCTTTTCTGTTGGACTATTAGTTTTAAAAGCAAATATACGCACAGGGGCGGATCCGGTAACAAGTATTGCCGAAGAAATAAAACTTTTTCCTAAATATATTACCTTTTAGAATAAGTTTTTTATTCACTCATGATAACTGCGGCATTTAGGATTTTTTCTCGTTAAAAATTAATTTATTGTTTTGTTTTTATGTGTTTTTCTTTCATAGAGTTCTTAGGGTTGAAAAATTTACCCATCGCCCTTTCCTTGATCCGCCACTGTTACACATGGTACTTTACTGCACTTTTTTTAATTAATTAATCAACAAATAGAGCATTCTATACACTGTGTTATTGCATCAACTACACATTTTAATTGTAAAGTACAACTACATATAGTTATTTATAATTGCAAAACCTATAAGTGGTATACATACTTGTTACACATTTATTTACACAATTAATTCTTGACACATTCATTTCTTTTAAACTTGGTAAATTGTTTTTAACTATGTAATAACAAATTTTTAAAATAACTATGGAATCGATTTTAAAAATCTAAATACTCAGCGGGGAGGCACTAAACAAATAAAGTATTGTTTCTAATGGATATAGAACGTTAGATAATTATTGCAATTACTTTATGAAGAAGCTTAAAAACTAAAAAGTAATTACCGTTAAAATCAATGCAAAATTGGGAAAGGAATTGTTTAATAAAGCAATACCCATGTTCCGCCTTTTGATGTAAAGCTTAAGAAAATGTTACAACATATTTTATATAGGTACCAATGCACAGCCTAAACCCCTCGGTTAGATACTTGAAATTTTACAAGACGTTCCTTAAGTAATGTAGGTGAGCAGTAAGAAAAGATTTTTTTTAAGATTCAATCTCTAAAGTTGATAAAAAAGGATTCAGTTTGATGTATCGATTAAGCTACAGCCCAAAGCGCTTAGTCCTTAGGAAGCTTGAAATTTTACACAAAGGTTCCTTATACAACGGTATCATCTACCNAATCGAATGAAAAAAAGTGTCGTACGACGAAACATTTACTTGATTGTAGGTAATTAACATTCTAAATTATTATTTTTTTATTTCAATTTTTGTTAACTTATCATTTTATTTGAATTTCTATTGATTTTCTTTGGAAAAATCAGCCGCAGCAATAACCACTGACCCTAGTTTTTAAGCAATATTTTTTCTTTCAAGGGCATTCGTGGTAAGTAGGAAGTGGGCAAATTATTGTATGAGAATGATCCTAGATAAATGGAAACTATGACAGAAAATATATGCATAGAAGTGTTATTATTAGATCAATATACAAAATGAGAAGTTAATTTGAATAAAATATATTTTCGTATAAAAGAACTGAAGACTTTACACAAATAGACAGTAAGGGGTTAACAAAAATAATTTCTTTTAGGAATATCTTTTTTGAGGTATTTTTCATCACTTCCGGTCAGTCAATCTATGGACTTTGACTTTAATTTAAATAGAGAGTTGTTACCATTGTTTGAACGTGTTTTTCTCATAAATTATCCATTTACTATTTGCTATACGTAACAACAGCTTTGTTTAGTATGGTTTATGTTTATGCAACATTGGAAATCTATTTCAATTGCATTTCTAATTAATTAGAACATGAAACTTTTATTAGATAAAGGAGTAATTAAGATTCAAAAATAATTTTTAATTTTTCATTGTTAGTTTTGTTGACCATTAAACTATTTGTTCTTTGAAATAATTAATGAGGATGTCTTTTTAAAATGCATTTTAGTTTTCAAAACGGAGAAGATATTTTAAGAAGAACCTTTTGCATATATTTATTCGTAGTTGACGTTTATAGATTTTTGTTGTTTACACAATAATTTGCCTACTTATGATGAATAAAAACAATATTGTTTCTTTAAATAACTTTAACGAATATATACCAGGAATGGCATATATACTCTCAGTTGGTACACTAATTTAGAATATCACTTATCTGAACTGGCAGATTACAACAAAAAAATATAATTTTTTAAAATATGCCTTCCTAATTTTGCTAGAGATTATCTATTTGAAACAACAATTAGAATTAAGTTATTTATAACGATCAACATGCGATATTAATTTGGAGTTTATTTCCTATTGTATAAAGTTTTTCAAAGTAATAACAGATAGGTACCTATAAAATTTTCTGATATGTTCTGTATTAATTATACTTCTAGTACCTATTTTACCTTTAGTTTTATGAAAATCGAAAGAATGTATTTTTTATGCAACTTAGTATATCTACAGGGATAACAAAATAAAAAGCAATAACCAGTTATAAAGCTAGGATTGCCAATAACTATTTAAGGTCGAAAAGAACAAATTAAAAACAAGAAAATGGTAATAACTATCAGATGGAATCATTTCAGCGGCAAGAATGTTAGAAAAACTGTAATTATGCTTTTTCCGCTTAACGAATTTCATTTTCACATAGAAAGAATGCTAGACTTTTTATGATGGAGAATTTCGTAGTTTCGGTTATAGGAAAACGCACATAAAATATTTTTTTACACATATTAGATAGTATTATTTTTTTTTAAANTTGCTTTGTTTTCTATTGTTAATTTATATACATTTTTGTTTTAAGAAATTGCTAAACATTTTCGTCTAGTACTGTACAGTTCTAGCCGATCTCCTAAGACCGCCCATCGAGAGTTCTGCTCGTTTTAACTTGTTCCAACTATTTCTGTCTTGCTCACGCCTAGTGTGTATTCTTTCCATCTTCGCGCAGATTTCTTCAAGGCCACAATTCTAACAAATTGAAATAGACTGTACGCCTTACGTCATGTGCGAACCACGTTCGTTACCCAGTAATGATATTAAAAAAAAACTTACCACTCCAGTCGTTCATTAAAACAAATCCGAAGATGTGTTCGTGGGCATTAGAAATATTTATCGGTTCACCTAACTTGGTAGGTGCTCCGCCCACAAAAAATGCAACTTCTAATTCGAAATCTAACAGCTTACTAGGGCCAAAAACGGGATCGGCGCCTAGAATGTTTTCTGTAGCAGTTAATTCAATTAAAGATCTTTACATTTTGTTTACCATCTGAGGGTATGCTCTGACCGCATGGTCTTTTTATAGGCGTTCCAGTTATAACGACAGAACTAGCCCTTCCATGGTAGCCAATCGGTAAGTGTTTCCTTAAATAATGTTTTTCTGTTAGTAATTATGAACAAGCGAACGAAGTTGTCATATGTCAATATCGGTTTATATTAAAATATGGTCATTATTTTTGGAACACAATATGCTGAATCTCAGTATTTACCAATTTCGACCAGTCCCAGTTGGTCAAAATGTACATTAATCATCAATGAGATTCGATGTTTAACCGATTAATACCTACATTAATACAAAATACAGATGTATGGTGAACTATTTAAAATGTACAGCGATTATAAGTCTTTTTACTTGATAAATAGGCACCTTGTCTCAATTATAGCAGTTATTCCATCCATATCCAACGTTCAAGAGGAGAAAATTAAATGTATAGAACGCGTATTAACCAGCTATTATACAGGGTGTAACGAAAATAAGCGTCGAGCTTTGGAGGGTATAAAATTATAAAATATAAAACTCTGCCGCTAAATAGATGGAGAATGCTGGTTATAAAACGTCTAGGATAAATGTAAACAATTTAACACTGCATTACAGGCAGCACTATGCTATGTAAATTTACCTCTAATTTCAACCACGTTTTCTTGAAAACGGTGAACTTTCGGTTATACAAACATTTACTTAATTTACAAGCTCGGCATTTATTTCTGTTACACCTTGTATATATAGCTCATTTCTGCTTATTAGCTGTAACAATCTAACAATTTGGCTTATATTTTCTGGATTATTTCTGAATTATATATAAAAGAAATTATAAGTGCTGTCAGCACTGGGCAAAGCAGTATTAGGTAGTTAGTATAAGCTATTTCTTATGCTGGAGTGTACGATGTGTTGCATACTTATTTACAAACAATTCCTTTAAGTTTAATTTTTCAAACAGTTTTTAACACAAAGAAAGTGATTAAACAAATTGTTTACAAAATTGAATTTCGACCACTCGAAGCAATGGTGTTAACAGTTTCGAGCTCACAGTAACTGAAAGGGGGGAAGAACATGCAATTGTAATAAAACTGTCAACATTACATTATCCTTTTTCTGTTTGATACAACCATAATAAGAGCCAGTAGTTAATCTGAATATTAACCGATCAGTGTCAAACAAAATTTACAATTTTTTTGATTTTAGCTAGTCGTAAGTGCTTTAGTTAAACTTGAGATTCGAGAATAGTTGTTTAATGTCGATATTAACCAATATCATAACGTAATTATTTATATACATGATGGGTATTTACCAGTTTGGTGGAAGAGCGTTGTCTTTTCCTCTGAACATTGTTCCTACGTTTGTTGCATGGTGAATCGATGCATAAAAATCAGTATAATCTCCAATGTGCGCCGGCAAATGTAGAGTAGCGTTAGCTTGACGAACTAAAGCTCTATATTGAGTTGAAAGTTGTATTATTCCTATTTATGTACATTAAGTAGTAAAATGCTTGAATGATGGTATTTGGCATTTTGCAGTTTTTTGTTTAAAACGTAGTTTTATAATCTACCCTAGTACTTTTAAAATTCTGGTATCTACACATCATTGAAAATTCATTTGTAGTTGATAGTACCCAGTTTATAAACCTAATATCTCAGATGTTCAGACTTATTCGAGAGAATTTTTTTAAATAATTTGAAGTCTCAAATTAAAGATTTTGTGATTTTTTCTATCCCTACAATTTGCGCAGGAAACCTTTAACAATTGTAGTCATAGTCAAAACAAAACACGATCTAAATAAAAAAAACCTTTTTTGGATATATTGTATATGTATTTGCTTATTATCTCTTTAATTTTGAAAAAAAACATCAGTTATTGAAATAATCTATTCCTCAGTTTGATTTCTAATAATTTCCGATTACCCAATTAAGTTATTCATTTCGTTATATTTCAACTACGACCAGAATTGTATTTGAATTTGAAATCTATAATACATTGAAAAAAAGATAATTGAAATTTAAGTGCGCAGATATTCCAATACCGAAATTTTGAAAATAAATGGTCAAAATTTCAAATATCTAGAAATCCATGTAGTTCATAAGTTCCAATTTCTTTCAAGTGTTTGTTGTTGAAAAAATTGAATTCGATATTTTTAAAGTTCTATTTTTTCTAATTTTGAGTGTTCAAAAAACATATATTAAGATTTCAGATATTCAAATATTTTATTTATTGTATATTGGACCGTTTAAATAGGTACTTGAATATTTACGGTTTTTGAAAGTTGATATATTAAAATCGAATAATAATCAAATATTTTTTGGATATTCACTGTACTCAATTTGCATTTATTTTTAATAGATCACAAACCTTTCAAGTAGACTTTGATCATTTTTTAATGTAGGACAATTGTCAGAAAGTAAAGTTTGAATTCTTTCTCTTGCTTCTTTCCATGCCTTTGGTCCAAGTGCCATAAAACTATTAAGGGTTGTCTGAAAGGCAAGATGCGTTTTATTAGATTAGGAAACGATTTATCATTCTTTTTACTGAACCTCTTTAAATATATATTGCCTATTGTGCAGCTCTGGTCCACTGAATAAATGGGCTATTTCGTTCAAGTCTAAAATCCATTCTCCAATTGCGACTCCAATACGATGAATAGGCTTAAAAATTATATGAAGAAAAAAGCTATTTAATCTTGGTACATGTACTTACAACAAAGTTGATAGTTTTACACTTTAAAGTATTTATCATATTATTTTTTCGATTCTCAAAGAGCATACCTAATCATAAAGGATTCATTGGTATGAATAAAATTATCCTATCAGTTGTAACTACCTTTGATCATGGACGTCATTAGTCTCATTACCTGTACGGTAATCTTGGTATAACGTAGGTCTCACTACGTGCTAGCTTATGGAGTTCCATAATTAGGAAATTATAATTATTTAAGAAACACAGAGAGTAGATTTTCACAAAATTTAAAATGTACTCAATATGTTTTGCCAAACGTTACTTTTTCACACAAGAGTGTTTAGTAGTAAGTACTCATGTTTGAAGAAGTCAATGTTTAGCTAAATATGTTACATGTTAAATAAATTTGTGAAAATCCATTATTTGTGGTTTTTTCTTGATTCCAATCATAATTATTTTTTCATGTGTCTCTTATAGATGAAGTACAATCTCATAAGCCGAAGCTGTTAATCACTCGATAACCGTAATACTTTCGAATTCATATTATTATTTCAACGATAGTGTAAAATCTAACTCAATAAGATACAAACATGTAAGAGCCTAAACAATTTACTCAAAAGCGTGTTCAGCCCTGTGTTACTTTTTTCTCTTTGATATGTATAATTTGACCAGGGTTGGGAACAAACGGAGTGAGGCTCCTGATTTTCCTTGCTTGTAAATTGCATAATTATATTTATCAATTATTTGATAATTTCTTGTAAAACCGAGAAGCTTAAAAACTAAAAAGTAATTACCGTTAAAATCAATGCAAAATTGGGAAAGGAATTGTTTAATAAAGCAATACCCATGTTCCGCCTTTTGATGTAAAGCTTAAGAAAATGTTACAACATATTTTATATAGGTACCAATGCACAGCCTAAACCCCTCGGTTAGATACTTGAAATTTTACAAGACGTTCCTTAAGTAATGTAGGTGAGCAGTAAGAAAAGATTTTTTTTAAGATTCAATCTCTAAAGTTGATAAAAAAGGATTCAGTTTGATGTATCGATTAAGCTACAGCCCAAAGCGCTTAGTCCTTAGGAAGCTTGAAATTTTACACAAAGGTTCCTTATACAACGGTATCATCTACCATAAAATGAGTTTTCAAAATACCACCCCTAAAAGTGAAAATGGGAGTTTGCGATATAATCAAATTTCACGCGGATGAAATGGCGGGAAATAGCTAGTTTGAATGTAAAGTATAATATGTTTGCTTTTCTTTGGCTTTTAATTATTTAATTAATTTATTATTTTTGTTCAAATTAGATTTACATTTACAATATTGCTGAGGTAATAATCACCCAGGTCCCTCGGCCTCATGTCATCAAAAATAAGCAAAGCAAAAATTCCCGTCCCCTTCCTTTGGTGCTTACGTAATAGGATGATTTTTTGACGATTCAGGGTGGAAGGAGTTGAAATATTTCTTTTTTCAACGCGCTCAGTTAAAGTGATTGAAAATGCTTTTCAAGTATAACAATATATGCAGTCATTTATGCGTCGTATGTTTTTGGAACTTTAGCCTGCCAGATATTGTAAGGATACTTGAAGTAAGATCTTTTTGCCAAAGATTTGTTTAAACAATAAAAGTGTGTGACATGGCAACTGTGGATTTCATTCATTCTTATATTTATAAGTTTTGGTAGAAATTTGTTCATGTAGGGAAGATATTGTTCATAATATTATTGTTAATATCAAGAGATGTCGCCCATAGTTTCAAAATTCAATTTTGGTACAGTGGAATGATGTATACAGATGCGAAAATTTCAACCGAAAAAGTAAAAAGGAATTATAGGAAAAACCTGGATGCAAGAGAAAAATTCAAAATAACTACGAATCACGTTTTGGAAACTTCGCAGTTTGTCTTAGAACTATTAAATAGTCATAATTACCACTAGAACGCATAATAATCGCAGTATCTACTGATACTAAAATAAAAAAATTAACTCACATTCTCTTTTGTCGAGAAAACTCCGTAAGGAATATTTTGAATTGGAAATGGCGTATCTTGTTGATAATCTATGAAGCACTTCATTCTCGTGCACTATCTTATAAAGACCTTAGATCAGAAGTTACTGAACATCCGTATAATAAATGTATAATATTTACCTATGTATCTGTAGCTGTTTTCCTTTCCCAGGAAGGTCATGCATATTATTTGAATATTTTACTTTGTGATAAATTCTTGCGTTAAATATATGAAAAATAAGTTAAATCAAGTATCTAAACAAGTTGTCGTGGAATTTTTTCTTTTAACTAAGATGCACTAACAAGAAATTGTCATCAGCAGCATGACAGTGAATTAATTGATAATAATTGACGGTGTTACATAATATACATACAAAAATACTTGATAATAAGCTTTGCGATAAAGTTTATTTTACAATTATGCTATACATTTTTACAATAACTGAATTAATAAAAGCTCTACTCTGTTAACAATATACACAAAAATGAATACGTAGCATTTAACATTCGTTATATATTTCTTTAATCAGTCAGTAAATCCATGTGATTATACTACCTACAGTTTTTAAATTATTCCTATTTTATTTATTAACAAAATATAGATTTGTGGAAGACGTATTATTCTATTGTTGTTATTGTTAACGCATAAATCAATATTATTATATTTGTACTGGGTACATAGCAGTATTTATTATATTTGGTACATTTTTAGCTAAAAAGGAAATAGTAAATGCAAATTTATAATAATTAATAACTAAAAACTAAACTATACACTTATATAATTTATTATGTACGCTT